TGAGTGTTATGAAAGTGTTTCAACATTTTAAAAGGCCAATTATAATTTTTCAGACTACAGAGCATATTAAACAAATGCAAATTGCACCAAAAGACAATATGACTGAGAATTAATATTTTTTTATGAACAATCTTTAAATTTCTCAGTAATATTTCATTAAATTACAGGAGATTAGATATTCTGATCAGATTTTAAATTCTGTTGAGAAATTTTGGAAAACTCATTATTGAACAAAATCACTTAAATATTTTTTATTTCAACTACTGTACCGTTTCAGAAACTGAAACTCGGCAAAACTGTGAAACTTCATTAGCAGCCTGCACTATGCATAGCCCTGAAAAAAAAAGCAAATTGAAATGTTACTAAATTGAATTAATAAAACAAAAATATTCATGCCAGTAACTATAGATATCAAATGTCATTATAGTTAAAAATGAAATCAACATATTTTTCCTTAAATAAAGTACATCAACTAGCGGCCCGTGGGCCATCTCCTGCACACGAGAACAAGCCAAAAATAACATTTTCCGTTACGCTTGGGGCTAGCCGCAGGGTTCCCAGAATGCCGCCCTTGGCGGCGTGTGCGAAGCACAACTCAGAGTCAGAAGTGAAACATGATTTGGTTTCGTAGTCAGATTTTCGAGAAAAACTTCAGCTACCCGTATTTCTCAACCGAGACGTCAATGGGAGCTGTAATTTGTATAGCAAGGAGATGGTGCTACCCTTAATTTGTATTAAGGGAATTTACGTCCAAAAACCTTGTAGTTAATAATATTTTGGTTATAATAGAAAATTTTTATTTTTTGGTGACGTCACACTCACGCTATAGTTAGCATGCATACGTCATAAGCTAGATTACGTCACCTTTTCCTGGTAAGGCAAACTCTCCATAAGGCAGCACCCCCTAGTTCCGTGTCCTCTGGATTTCTAACCTTAATAATTTTGCATTCTGTTTTCGCAACTAGGCCTATATATTGCCCCAGAAATTGTAGCGTTTTAATCAATCAAATCGGAAGAACTATTGCAGCAAATGGCCAAGAATTACTGTATTACCGATGGCCGATTGTGTGATATTATAACATTTTGGCTCTTGCATTACCAAACACAAGGGTAACTTTCTTAGGTCAAGATCCCTGTATGAGCCTCTAGCACCTTATTTATTTTTTAAAAATTGTCTAATTTGGGAAGAGGAACACCCCCTCCCAAACCCTCCTCCAGCTTCCAACTGTGGCGCTTATATGGCGTCATGCGCCATAGTAGGCCTATACCTCTTGCCCCGGCCCTTTAGATTTATTAAATGATCAATTTTGGCCTCTATTGCAATATAGATGAGAACACAGATCTCTCTACGAATTAAAGAGCACTTTTGGGACCAGGTTTTCCATGGTCTTTGCCCACATTGGTCTCTATTCAGAATAATAAAGATAGACATTATTAACTTGGGACCACAGAAAAGTGGTCTGAATTTAGAGATGGTCTTTAATTGGAGTGGTCTTAAATTAGAGGGAGACATGTATTTATAATTTTTTCTTGGAGCTTTTAAAAGCAACTGGACTAACAGTTATGAAATTAACACACATCCTAGTTGAGCCCAAGGAAACTTGGCCACTGAAAGCCACTCAGCTTAGTCTTCACGCCTAGGCTAGAACAGAACAGAAACAGAAATGCACTCGGTATATCGTTCCATTAAAAATCTGTGGAACAGGAATTCTACGTACAATAGTTACTCTAATAGGCCTACATACCATAATTAAAATTCATAAAGGTGTAAATGTTAGTAAACAGCATTTTCACGTTCGCTGAATCTATTCATCATTCGAAACAGTGTGTGATAGTGTGCATAACCTTTCAAAGCTTTATTCATGTTTGGTGATATGAAAAGTCTAATAAAAATATTTCTATGGCCTATTAAAAGTTTAAAAAAAAAAAAAAAATTCAATTAAACTCTTTTACAGTTGACTGATTATATAATATGTAGCTTTTTATTTGTTTTCAATTGAATTACCTAGTGCTTATAACAATTGATTTTCAGGTCAAATTACGCTGAGTATTTTGCATATGACGTAGATATCTCTTGTCGGCAATGTACCTCGGCGATTTCCATGCGTGACACATTCTACTTTCCTGACGTACCTGGATGCTAACGCTTCACTTTATTTCGGTCTTGCTTAAGTTGGTGTCTACCTGAGTTGTTTGTCTTTCTCACCACTCAAAAGTACCTGGGTTCCTGGTAGGCTTGAATTAATGTACTGTACAGGCTTTCCCACAGGGCTGAGATGTTCCATTGGTGTTTGATCAGCATAATAGTGTGATCAAGTTCCCATCATCAGAATATGCTGTATGATGAGAATAAAAGAATAATGAGAACAAGAACGCAATAAGATTTAAATAACAATGTTATGTTAATCAAATAAAAGTAATAATAAAATATAGCATAGGCCTACTCCACAATTCAAATTTGTACAGTATATTTGGTTTGGAAATAAATATGTTATCAAATGAAAAAGATCAACATAACTGGAAAGAAATGAGAAAATATGTTTGGAATTTCCTAGGAGGGGGAAGTAAGGCAAACAATTAATTATAAACAGCCCTAGACCTACTCTTAGCTCTATTTACTCGGTTACTAATGACATAAAATGTCTTTTCTTTGTTGCATTTCTGCTTTTGCTGCTGTAAATAATTTCTAAATGAATTTTCTTTTCAGAATTTTTAAATGCAATAGGCCTCACCTAGGCTAGGCGTACATGTTTCAATCAGAAAATATACAAACTTCAGCTAATTCCTTCTGGATAGGCTTAGGATATTATTAGGGGCCTACCCTTGGCCTCCTGCTAACTCCAGCTCCTATGCCTAGGTAGGCTTCTAGCCCTATGGATGCCTATCAAAAGTAGCTGACCCCTGACCCCTAAGTTCTAGAAAATTAATTTACCATTATAAAGTTGTAATATACAATACTAGTACTAGGCCTAGGCTAAAAAACCCAGACTAGTCACTAGCAAGTGATAGTCGTAGAAATATGAAATTCTTAAATTAAAACAAAAGCCTCGGCCAGACCGTCCTATGGACAAAACATTACAACATATCCTACCTTAGAAAGGACTGACTGGTCTGTTCAATTCAACAATGGTATCAAGAAGGCGCGCCTATGTCCCACACACAAGTAAGTAGGCCTACGTCGACATCTTCATTCATTTCATCTTTTGTTACGTATTGGACCATTGACCTTATAACACCAAAACATTCAACCAATCACACTTTTATAAAAAAAAAAAGTGGACTGTTGAATAATTTTATAGGGGGATTTCGGCTCGTTTGGCCCTAATACAGTACCGGTACTAATACAGTAGTACAAAGCAAAGAGAGCGACATTGCTTTGTTTCTTCGAACCTCATTTTCTCACGTTTTTCATACAATACATTGGCCGTATTCGACTGGTCGTTCTTCGTTAAACCACGCCCACCTGCGCAGCGGTAAAATCCTACTCAACGAAGACTACCAGTCGAATAGAAAACTAAAAAAAAAAAAAAAAAAGGGGGGGGGAAAAAAAAGGGGGGGGGGGGGGGCCCCAAAAAAATTTTTTTTTTTTTTTTTTTTTTTTTTTGGTGCTTAGGGACCTTGTTTATTTGCTCCTTACAAATTGCCCTATTATTATTATTATTATTATTATTATTATTATTAATATTAAATATGGATTTTTTTTAAATTTTTTTTTTTACATTTTCTAACGAACATTACAAGTTCCCTTTTTGAGTCGAGCAGACCCACCCTCTAGCATGCAGAAAAAAATCGCCTGCATTCGTGAATTCTGTATTTAGGCATATGGTGGGAGGTAAACACTCTTAATGGAGCGACGTTCTAGTTCTCTTTATGCTAACCACGATGTACAGTAAGTGTAACTGATTGGCTTACAGTAAACGGTCAAACTAGCGTAATATAACCACATTTAAACTCTAATTTAACGAAAACAATAAGATACTTATTAGGCTACTTTTTAAAATAAAGTTGTCTGAAGGTTAACTACAGAATTTACAGTACACTGTAGTTAATGTGTTATAGGTTGTAAAAACTGTATTGAGTAAAAAAAAAATAATTCGAATAAAAAAATTTTCGCTTGACATTAGGAATTAATCATTTGTGAAACAAAATGGTAGGCTATGTCAAGTGTTCTATTGAATAGTGGCAGATTCAAGGGGAAACCCAGTCAGCACGGGACCCCATCCTATTTTTTTGTCAAAATAGAAAAAAAAAATGGAGAAAACAAACAAAATTGTATTCAACTTTTAATCTGAGAGTGCCATTTCCATATTTTTTCTTACCTCAGCCCCCCCCCCCCCAACAGTGTGGCTGAGGCGGGTGGACATTCTATTTACGCAAGACTCTCCCTCGAACCCCTCATTTCGACTTCCTGGACCCGCCACATTTAGAGTATCATTTCTGAGCTACATAGAAGGGTAATTTTTATCCATCAGAGGAAAAGTGAAGTTTTCGTCGGGGAACCCATATCAAGGATAACCCTCATAATAAATATTTCATTGTGGTCGTGGAAGCAATCTCGACTTCGACTTTGTTCGGAAATCTGTGGCGCGTTCAAGGAGAGGGGGGAGGTTAATTCAATTTTTTTTTTTAAATGGAGATATAAGGAAAATTATATTCAAATTTTAAGTCGAAGAGTGTAATTTCCGGCCATCTAGAGGTGCCATAATCACAAATTTTCTTACCTCAGCCCCAACCACGATGGGGCTGAGGCGGGTGGACATTCTATTTACGCAAGACTCTCCCTCGAACCCCTCTATAAAGCGCTACGTATAGCGAACGCTTCTTTAAACAATAGGAGAGACCAAGTTTCGGGAGCTGTCAATAATACTAGTACTAGAACATATTAAACCTAATTTATTACTTACATTACAGACGACATTATCATTTTCAAGTATACCCTGTAATCCTAAAACAAATTGGAATGCCTCACAGTTTTTAACATGATCAAATATAACACTATCAGATCATGAAGAATGTTCTTTAAGTCTAGTTATTAAGCACCTATCTCTCTTACCAATATAATCACTATTGCAGCCTGGACATATAAAATGATAGACAACAGAACTTCTGTACTCCTTAGGGGTTTGATCCTTAGTAGATATAAAATGTTATGAATTTTACCTCTTTAATTAAGTGTTTCTTTACCATATTTAAACATCTACGTAAAATGAAATCACCTGGTTTTCCTAGATAAGGCAATCTAACCCAAATCTTAATCAAGCTATCATCAGCAGGCCTATGTATACATTTAGGTTCATTTAATTTCTTAAGTACATTATTAACAACTTTTAAAGGGTACCCATTCCAAGACATAAACTTCCTGATGTTACTAAGCTCTGTTTGAAGTTTATCAGGAGTACACAATCTGTGGGCTCTAGAAACTAAACTACGAATCCAGGAGATCTTATGGTTCCATGGAGCAAAGCTATCATAATGGATTACAGGGTATACTTGAAAATGATAATGTCGTCTGTAATGTAAGTAATAAATTAGGTTTAATATTTTCTAGTACTAGCATTATTGACAGCTCCCGAAACTGGTCTCTCCTATTGTTTAAAGAAGCGTTCGCTTAACAATGGGCTTAGAGCTTCAAAAGAGCTTTCTTTGTTTTTGTAGGTATCTTTGATCATTAGAGTAAGAATGCTTTGATCTTTTGTTTAAATCACTGCTATGTCACCTACTAGAGGTAATGTTTTG